AACAGAATAAAAACAGAAAGGAATGATTTGCGAATCCTTTTTGACCTGTATTCAGTTAAATACAGTACAACAGTCACATGGTGTACTTGCTTCTTCACATGACTACATTTTTTATATATATATATATATATATATATATATATATATATATATATATATATATATATATATAATAATATATATAATAATAATAATAATAACATTATTCATTATCATAATACAAACCCAATTCCAAACAAGATGGGACAGTAGAAAAAATGTGAATAAAAACAGAAAACAATGATTTGTGAATCCTTTTGGACCCTTTTTGGTATTTTCTGGCTCAGTTAAATACAGTACAATGTTTTGATTAATTCATTTTATTGTCTTTTGCATATATATTGTGATAGACTGGCGACCTGTCCAGGGTGTGTCCCACCTTCCAACTGCTGGGATAGGTTCCAACACCCACCCAGAAGGATAAGCAGTTTAGAAAATGTGTGTGTGGGTGTTTTTTGCATATATACGCCTATTTAAAATGTGATGCATGCAACACAATTTTTGGCAAACCTCAACCAGTCCTTGCTCATAAACGACTGAGCCTTTTGTGAATGCTCCTTTTATACCCAATCAAGGGTAGCATCACCTACCTATTCACTTGTTTACCTGTGGAAAGTTCCAAAACAACCAAGCTGTTTGTCATCATTCCACAAACTTCCCAGTCTCCCCATCACATCATGATGAATGCAGCTACATGTTGAGAGTGGAGTAGATCGTAAATCGCTTCTCTGCAGTTACAGACACTTGATAAATACAGAGGAGAGTGTATTAAGAAGAGATGCTCATTAAACTGTCTCCTCTGTCGGAGCACCATGTCCATTTGAAATGCTGACTGTTTGGCTGTTTTGGAGCTTTCTGACCATCCCAGCTTCAGGCTGCAGCAGAGGGGAATGTCCTTAGAGCAAACGCTAAATAAATAAATAGCTAAATTTGTGAAGAGGCACAGCAGGTCTATTCTGGATATCATGTTATTTGCTACAAGAGCCAGAGTCTGTTTCGGTCTTCTGAGTTTGATTTATCTGAAAGCAAAATTATAACTGTGAATTCAGCAATAAAGATATGAAAAACAGAAATATTATGACTAACATTTCACACATCAGTGAGTGCAGAAAATTCCTTGCCTTGTTTGCATTTTAGGCAGTTTTAAGTGACCAGAATGAAGATATAAAACAGGCTCATACCAGGTCCACATCTGGATTATGAATATGAAATAGTAGCATTTTCTTGTGGCAGAATATAACTGGACTGTGGGCGTTCCAGATTTTTCATAACCTTCACTTACAGCCAGATCCTTTTGGAAGATCTTGCTTGAAGCATGAATTCATGTTACAAGTATACTTTAAAGGAATGGTTCCCCAAAAGTAAAATTTAGAATTTGTTTCCCTTTTCCTCAAATGTAGTCAATCAGTAACATGTTTAAAGGAGAATTCCACCAACCTTTCAAACTTTTTCCATAAATCCATCACTGAGATGTAAACAGAGTCATTGTGATGTGAAAAAGTTTATTGTAGACACTCAGATTTCTTTCTATGAGGGAGCTTTTATAGGTGGACGCCTGGTTCCTGTCACCACCACTGTGAACAATTCTGACTCTAACTTTCTCCAGAATGGAGCATTTCACATCAAACCACTCTGCATGTCTTTACTAACATCTTAGCCATTTAATTGTGCAGAATATATGAAAAATCTGTCGAATTCCTCCTTAATGGCTGATTTTTTTAAATTGGAGATACAAGGCTGATGTAGCTAACAAGCAATAAAAGTCTATGTCATCCAAAATCCTTTTCTTACACTTCCATTTTGTAGACTTATGTTACATCAGCCTTCTAGCTCCACTACAAAACTAAATCAGCAACCTTCAGACGTTAAGCATGCCTTGCTAAATAACTACATTTGGAGAAATGGGAAAATTTTTTAAATTTTAGATTTTTGGTGAAGCGCTCCTTCAAATAGGTAGCCTTTAGAGCTCTTTAAATGAGTAATGAGCACTGTCAGTTACACTGAGCTACAGTGAAATGTGTATAAAACTATTCTTAAGGTTTTTTTATGTAGAAATTGTGTTGATCTTTGTTTAAGCAAAAACAAACAAACAAACAGTAATTTAAACAGACTCGACTGATCCTCAGATTAAGCTGACAGTCAACATTACCAGCACTTATCAGCGTTTATAAGCCTATCACTTCTCACTTGGGCCAACTCCTAGATTGACTGGCCTGATATGAAGGATCTCTGCTGAGTGTTGATGTAGGATATGAAGACCAACCCTTTGAGGAAAATAAATGAAGGAGGGTTTTCACAGTAACAGGGAGATATTTGCAAGGAAATGAGCTCCTGTCATTCAGATGGCGCCGAATAGCGCTCTGTTTCTCCGGGACTCCTTTTTCCTTTCCGTTCGGTTCCATTATCAACATGTTGTTACAGCTGAACATTATAAAAGTGCACGCGTTCTTGGGACGCACTTCGGAATAACACCTCGTAGGTGTGGAAATGATTTAACAATCAAAATGAATGTGCACTGAGATTATATTGGCCTTACTTTCCAGTGCAGTTTGATGGTGACTGGACACCACATGTAGGCCTGTAAATCCAAGCAAGAAACATTAATGCCCCCCTCATCAAATTTCCATAAGAGGGCTGAAAAGTGATAGTTTTAATGAGAACTGTGAAAATTCCCCTTCAACAGTGGCCCCTGTAGTCTCCCCATAAGCAGACGCAAAGGGGCATTCGGGGGCCAGAGCGAGCTATGAAAAGGCCATCATTGTGTTCATGAATGGTCAACTGTATAGCCTACTGTGTGCCACGGCGTTTCTATAAATTGAGTGATGGCAGTCTACACAGCTTAAGTTTGTTTGGACAGGATTTTGCGCTGTGTAGATATTATACAAGGTCTGCAGGAACCTCGGGAACCCAACAATGCGCCATTGTCCGAGGCTGGCCTAGCGGACAGGCTCCTACACAACAGCCTAGCATTGACCAATAAACACTTCAGGAGCAGCTGCTGTACGTTCAGCTTTACCATCTGAGTTTGTGAAAAGCAATATTTCCAAAGCAGGTTTGGTTTCTTTAATCTCTGGTAATTGTGATAGTTTGATTTGCGCTAAAACACATCAGGCCTTGTTCTTGTTATAAAAATGTAATAATGCACAAGAATGAAATTTAATAACATTAGGAATGTCTGTGGGGGGGCTGGAATATAAGGCCTGATTATGTCAGGGAACAGAAAATCTTTTCAATGCATGGAACCTGTAGGAGCTCCTCCGTGGTGGTCTAGCAGGAAAATGGTGGGCTTAAAGGAGGTGCTTTGGCGCCATCTGCTGGTGGATTCTTAACACTGCACAACACTAGTGGTAAAGTAAGATTAAGATTAAGTGACCCTTATTCGTCCCACAATGGGGAAATTACACCTCTGCATTTAACCCATCCGTGCAGTGAAACACCACATACACACTAGTGGGGGCAGTGAGCACACTTGCCCAGAGCGGTGGGCAGCCCTATCCACAGCGCCCGGGGAGCAGTTGGGGGTTAGGTGTCATGCTCAAGGGCACCTCGGTCATGTACTGTCGGCTCAAGGGATCAAACTGGCGACCTTCTGGTCACAATGCTGGTTCCCTAACCTCCATGTGACGGTCACACATGCCATATGTTGTTATTTTCAGGAGACCCTGGGCTGCTCAGATATGCTATTGTTTGACATGTAAATGCTGACAGAAATTTGATATCTTTATGAATTTGGATCATTTCTGATCAAAAATGTACCCAATGCCTGCAATATTTTGTACTTTTTTAATTATAGAGATCTTGAAAACAAGTGGAATTGTAGTTATCTTTTCAGAAATTGTTAGTCTGGAGTGTCTGTGAGCTGAAAGTGCAATACTTTGATGGTGATTCATTCTGTTGGTTATTATGAGTAAAAATAAACAATTAGCATAAGGTGGACATGTTTTTTTTATTGATTTTCAGTCCTCTTGGATTCAGGCTGAGTGATGAATTTTAATTTCAAATTGAGTAATAAATTAATCCGGGTCCTAAGGGTTAAACAGTGTCACATCAGGCAGTGAATTCATAACCATTTCATGTAGAACCTTTCTGTGAGGGAGCTTTTAGAGGTGGCCGTCTGGTTCCTATCACCACCACTGTGAAGGATTCTGACTCTGTAAGTTTCTCTAAAATGGAGTATTTCACACCAAACCACTCTGAACGACTTTGTTTACATCTTAACAGTTTAATTATGCTGAAGTTTTAAAGTTCGATTGAATTCCTCTTTAATCCATGGTTATACAGCAGCCTAGTTCTGCTGAAGTGTGACTTCGCTGCGTTCATTAAAGTACGACCTCATGTGTTAACAGACTTGTATTGGGACTCTTGAAGCATATTTGGTGATGCGCTTGAGAGGAAACACAACAAAGTGCATTGCGACATATAAAATAGTTCTGTATAGAACCATGAACACTCAAAGAACACTTTACATGATTAAAGGGTTCTTTGCACTGTGAAAGTGTTCTTCAGAATGATGGAGAATGTGCTGTAAATGGTTCTATATAGAACCTTGTTGAAAAGAGTTCTCCTGTTGTTACAAGCTTGACATCGAAACAATAGAAGAACCGTTTCTGGTGCTATATGGAACCCTTTTTCCTAAAAGGTTCTTTATAGAACCATCTACAGCACATTCTCCATCCAAGACCCCTTTAATCATGCAGAGTGTTCTTTGAGTGTTCATGGTTCTAGATAGAACTGTTGCCTTTACTAAAGAACCCTTGAAGAACCTTCTGTTTTTTTTGAAGTGTGCAGGCTACCTTAACTAAAACGCTAATCTGGTCTATTCTCTTCCCCTGTTGCTGTTCCCAGTCCGGGGGAATCACATGATATTTACGAGTACTGGCCGAACCCTGTAATGCCCCGAATGAACTGGAAGTTTCGATTGCGTCATTGCGGTGTGACGAATGCGTACGCTGCGCTCTACGTCATCGCAGTGTGCGCTGCTGCAGAGTCACTGTGCGGGTCTGAGTGTAAACAGCCCAAGCGGAGGAGAGTCTGCAGTCACAGCGCTTTGTTGTGGAGCGACAGATGGATTGATAGTCATTATACAGAGAGATCTGTGCTTGTTGTCAGACGCAGTGTTAGTGCGGGCAGCTCTGCCCAATTTCAGCGCAACAGGGCGGGTTTAACACGGTAAACACAACCGCTCTGAGCGTAGCTTAAGCTAAGCTATCGTAGCTTAGCGTTAGCTTTAGCTGCGAGAGGCCTTGTACGCGGCGGGAGCTGCAGCTGCTGTATGCCCGGACTTTAGCTGGATCTTACGGGCTGGCTGGAGCCCTTGAGCCGTGAGTATTTTGCCTTTGCTTCCAAAAAAAAACATGAAGGAAAAATACGTAGGTGAAGCGTTCGAATTTCCCCGTTCCACCTTAAATGGTGCAGCAGTTCGTTTCTGGCGCCTCAGGCACCAGAATGTAATTGCTGCAGCATTTAAGGTGGAACGGAGAATTCGAAGAAGAAGCTAACTAGGTGAACATTCGTTGGCTGTTTTTTTAGTAGTGTCTATACGTAATGAATGTGTCTCCGCGACAAATATAACCTGGATTGCTAACTCAAAGGAGAATTCCACCAATTTTTGAAAAAAATTTGAGTTAGTTAGTCAGTCATTGAGATGTAAACAGAGTCGTTCAGAGTGGTTTGGTGTGAAATGCTTCATTGTAGAGACTCGGATTTCTTTACAGTGGTGGTGATGGGAACCACGGTTCACCACGACTGCAGCACAAATATAGACATTTTATTTACTATCCAGAACCACCAGTGAAGCTACACGAGTCTTCTGAGCTTTTATACGTAGTGTTGATGATGGTAAAGCAGTGGTAAATATGAAAAGAATAAGTCTTCTGTGGGAATTATTTTGCCATACTGCCTTTCATGTACCTCCCCAACACAAATGGATTGAAATACATGTAATAAAATACATTTTAAAAAAAACAAATCTATCATAAGACAGTGTGTCAGACACCCAGCAGCATATATATCTAATCATTTCATGTAATATCTTTGTGTTGAAGCTTTTAGAGGTGGACGGTTCCTATCACCACCCTGTGACCTGGCAAGTTTCTCTAGAACGGAGCGTTTTGCACCAAACCACTCTGAATGACTTTGTTCACATCTCAGCCATTTAATTATGTAGAATTTTTGAAAAATTGGTGGAGTTCCCCTTTAAATCAAATGTTCTGTTAGAAAAGAAACGATGACCATATTTCAGTTACTGTTTGGCTGATGTCCAGCACTAGAAGTGGAGGCCCCAAATTCCAGTTCTGGATGGTCCTAGCGATGCTGAGATTTCCTGTTTTCCCATTTTCCCAGCTTCACCTACCTGGTTCACTGGAGTGAAGTGTTGTGGATCAGAGGGTCCCAGCTCCCATGCTGAGGACCCACTGCTCTGCACAGTTCCAAGCATTCTGTGACCTTGTACAGCCCATCAGACTGTTATCAAGCTCTTAAAGAGTTGGATCAGTTGTTTTGGGGTGGGAAATGCTTGAAGCTGTCCAGGGAAAGTGAGGATCTGTTCTAAACAGCCGTACTGCTCATACTGATTAGTAAGTAGTATGCAGTGAGTGACCAACCTGAATATGTCCACTACCTCAAAGATTCTTGTATTACCATTATGACAAAGTATGGTACATAATGGTAATTGTTGCAAACTTGATATGATGCTGTATATTTCTATGATGAGATCCATGCAGTATACATTATATACTCATTATTTGGTATACAGCATATACTCAGTATACAGCATATACTCAGTATTCAGTTTACAGCATATACTCAGTATTCAGTATACAGCGTATACCCAGTATTCAGTATACAGCATACACTTAGTAATCAGTTCACAATATATACTGAGTATTCAGTTCACAGTATGTACTCGGCATTCAGTTCACAGTATGTACTCGGCATTCAGTTCACAGTATGTACTCGTATTCGGTTCACAGTATGTACTCGTATTCGGTTCTCAGTATATACTCGGTATTCGGTTCACAGTTTGTACTCGTATTCAGTTCACCGTATATACTCGGTATTCAGTTCACAGTATGTACTCGGTATTCAGTTCACAGTACATACTCAGAATTCAGTTTACAGTATATGCTCAGTATTCAGTTTACAGAACATTAGGTGTGCATCATTGGCAATGAGTATCTATCTAATCTAACTGCATTGTTTGAACACCAAAGTAAACAGTCAGCACCTCAGTCCAGCACTCCTCCTGCCTCTCAGCTCTAGCGTCACCAGTAACGTGTGCAGCAACATGATTAAAGTCATAATTTTCCATCATTTGAGTTTTGTTCGGAATATCGTGAGAATACCAAATTGTGAACCCAGTATTGTGATTTGAATTGCGTCGTGGACTGAATGTACTACTTCATCCCAGAAGTACACAGCATGCTATTTTGATCCCTGCGCTTGTGTCCAGGACTGGAGTTGAGAACTCTCTTCATTTTTACAGCAGATAAACCACTAAACTGAATTGCCCTGCTCTGTACAACGGGGTTTCACCAGATCTTGGAGTGAACTTGCAGTACACAGTCAGCGGTTTGCCTACTGTAACACTGTGTCTGTACAAATATAAGGCTTTATTACACATGTTAAGCCATTTCATCAGCTCTGGTCAGTTATACCTTTTGACTTTTTCTGCAGTTCTGAGGCTGTGAAAGGCACTACCATGGCCACTGTGAAGACGGGAGGAAAGGAGTGCGAAGAGGAGACATTGCAGACTGCCTTTAAGAAGCTGCGTGTTGATGCTGAGAGGTCTGTTCATTTTTTGGTTATGTTGCGTATTAATGCCACTTTCTTGACAATAAATAAAAGCCAAGTCAATATCACAGCAAAGCAAGTACATCTCCTTATTCAGGTTAAGGATTCCAAATAAGATTATGAAGACTAATATGAATAGTATGACTAAACTGGTAGGAAATTTCTGTGTTTTTTTTACAGTTTAAGGGAAAACCACCAGTTTTTCACAATCTCTACATATCACTTGGATGTAAACAAGGTGATTCAGAGTGGTTTGATGTGAAGTGGTTAATTGTAGAGAAGCTGTTCTTTACAGTGGTGGTGATAGGAACTAGGAGTTGCAATGTTTATAACACAAACATAGCCATTTTATTTACTAACCAAAATGACTCATCAACCTACCTGTCTCCTCTGAGTTTTTATTTATAATGTTAATGATGATAGTATGTTTGGCCTTACAACATCCTGCATGTACCCCTCCACCTTCACGGATTTAAAACAAATACAAATACAAAAACGTGTGGAAAAAACTGTAGTAAAACAATGTCTCAGATGTCAGACATTGTATTCATAACTAGTCCACGTAATAAAACTTTGTGAGGGAGTTTTTAGTTCAGTTACAGAGGCTTCCTATCTTTTTGTCTTAACTTAAGATCTGCAAGGTCAAGATAAGATTTTTCACAAATTCGTTTTAGATTAGCAAATCTGATCTTAATTTAGGAATCACGTCTTATCTCAAGTTAAGAAATCTTAACTTACTCAATCAAAGTCGACAGTCACCTGTCACGTTTGTTACCTAGCAACAGGTGGTTAAAACTGAAGTTAAGATGCTCTGGGATTGTCTTAAAGTTAGGACAGTATTTAGGAGATTTAGTCTAGTTAGGATGTTTCTGTAATACTGTTTTCTCATCTTGAGTTAGGATAAGATTCTGAACTTGAGAACTGTTGTTCTGTAATAGCTTCTGTCCCAAGTTCAGTCCTAACTGAAGTTGTCATGATGACTACGCAGATAAGATTTCAGACTTAAAAAGTTTCTGTAATATAGCCCCTGGTTCCTATCACCACCACTGTGAACAGTTCTGACTTGGTAAGTCTCTGTGGAACGGAGCGTTTCACACCAAACCACTCTGAATGACTCTGTTTACATTTTAACCCTTTAACTGTGCAGAATTTTTGAAAAATGGTGGAGTTTCCCTTTAATAATCACAGCACACAGGTAAAAAAAACATTACTTGCTCTCGAATTTCCCTGCAGGAAATGTTGGAATGCTTCATAAGTAATCGTATAAACATGAAGAAGAATGGTTTATTCAGATGAGTCAGCATGCAAACATTTGGAAGAATAGCTTAACCAGAAAAAGAAACTCAGTTGAAGTCATTTTTTACAGTTTCCTAGCAATTTTATTGTTTAAAAATAATATTTTTCTTGGTTTCCTTGAGATGAACCCACAGCTTACTTCCACTCTGGGCTTGGTGAAGTTCACTAGAAGTTGTGCCATAATAAACAATGCAAGGGTGGTAGTTGGCATGATAATCCAGGAATTCCATTCCATAGTGAGCTACTTCGGGCAGCAATAATAGACTAAATCTGAGTCTCTGGCTCAAGAAAAATATTGTGGTTGTACTGTTTGTTTTGGATAACCGTGTGGCGAGATGGCTTGTGTAGAACAAGAGAAAATGTGCCAGCAAGGATGTTATGGTCATTGTACATGTGTATCCTGCTAGCTCTGCAACCGCAGTGCATGTCTGCGAGGCCTTGGCATCCAGAGCGGGAGCTCGAGTCAGCGCAGATGGAGCCAAACCCAAGGTTACTTCCCCGAAAGAGAACTGGCTCGGGTAAGAGGCCATATTTTATACTTCATTGTTTTTGTTGGCTCTCATTTAGGCCTACACAATATTTCAAATATTAATTTTTGTCATATTAATGGCCATTATTACTATGGCAACAGTGATTAATAGGCTTGTCTTAGCAGTAATATAAATGATTGCACAACCTTTCTTAGATCTAAAGTTAGTCCAGCTTTAGAGTTACTTTTATTACATTATTGCCGGTAGCACGTAAAAAACAATGACCATTTGGGGGGCACAGAGACTTCGGGAGGATTTTTTCCTCGTATATGCTTATTTTTTATTTCCACAGAGGTTATTTAGCATGCATAGCTATAATAATTACGATAATAACAACCCATACAGTACAAAGCGTGTGTATATATACACCGATCAGGCAAAACATTATGACCACCTCTGTTCTTCAGTGGTCAGGACCCCCATGGACCCTCACAGAGCGGGTACTATTTGGGTGGTGGATCATTCTCAGCACTTCAGTAACACTGATGTGGTGGTGGTGTGTTAGTGTGTGTTGTGCTGGTCTGAGTGGATCAGACACAGCAGTGCTGCTGGAAACATAGTATATATAGTAAGTGGAGCTGATAAAATGGACAATGAGCATAGAAACAAGGAGGTGGTCATAATGTTATGCCTCATCAGTGTGTGTGTGTGTGTATATATATGTATGTATATACACGTACAGACACAGTCATATGCAAAAGTTTGGGGGTTTCTGGTCATTTTCTAATTCACGCTTACTGTTTTTGATTTGATGAATTTAACATAATAAACATAATAAAACATAAAATATGGCCTGTGCAAAAATGCATTTTATATTTTGTTTTTCCATCATCAGTTCAAAAAAATAGAAATCGTGCAATAAAATGTGCTCTCAAGTTGTCTTTAGAGAGAATTTATTAAAAAACTTCAACTGTAAGACAAAACTTTTGGGTACGACTGTATTATAGCACACCTTAACCAGAAAAAAAGTATTTTATTATTTTTTTTCTGGTAATTTTGAGACACTCACCAGCACTGAAGCGGACTTTGTGGTAATGTATACATATAAAAAAGTTGTAGTATGTTTTTATCTTTATCAAAATGGCTATGATATTGTTATGATAGTAATAAAGAACAGAATTGTGAACTTTACCATTCAATGTTGCTTACATAGCTTAGCCTGTTACCCTCATCTGAGGCTCTTTGAAACGGCCCATTTCACCTGATAGACGTGAGCTGTGTGTGTGGGGTTTTTTTTGTTCCCCGAAACCTGATGCTGTGGTCTGATTATGTCCTAAAACACACAGGCAGCTTTTTATAGGCATATCAGCCTGTAGCACTGAGCGTGTTCAACCAGCTCAGCTCAACAGCCACATTTACAGAACAATCTCATCTGTTAGGTGCAATGTGGTGTAAATATGGACACCCAACATGTTCAAAAGTTAATTTATGTGTGACTATGAATGTCTTCCTATGGGCTAAATGTAATGATCATTTTGGTGTCCTTTATATAGATGTACACGGAAGTCCTCCAGAGGATTAGTGAGAAGCCAGAGACGGAGAAGATCAAAGTCCCCCATCCTTCACCCTCCGAAGTTCACTTACTGTAGCTCCAAAATGCCCAGTCCTCCTTGCCACCTTAAACACAAGAGCCCTCCGGAGCCAGAAGACCCCAGTGCCTCTCTGGTTATTCCAGCTAAGAAGGAGCTTTTATCTTCCGGTCCCTGTTCACCTGTTTTCGGCGTCGCTGGCTATGAAACCCATCTCCCGGTTGCTCTGGAGAGCCCCAGCTCCCCCCTGCTCCGCACCGGGACCCCGTCAGACGATGAGAGCAGCTCTGAAAGTGGACCCTGCCCAGGAAAAGAAAGTTCTCATGCTCCTTCAGAGGAACCCGGCGCTGCAGCTCCAGCGACCGCTCCATCTGACTTTAAGTCCCTGTGCAAGCTTCAGGAGGGCGCTCAGTGCTCGTGCGGCCAGAGAGAGTGCCAGTGCTCCGGGTGGCAGGGCGTGGAAGTCTACTCGTTCACAGGCCTCCGCGAGGTCATCTCCGAGTGCGAGAGAAAGCTGCCCAGCCCTCCGGACGCGGCTCAAAACTCCAGAACTCAGAGCGGAACCGGAAGCAATGGGACGTCCAGCTCGCCGCGCTCGTGTTCCGAACAGGCCCGTGCCTACGTGGACGACATCACCATAGAGGACCTCTCAGGCTACATGGAATACTACCTTTACATCCCCAAGAAGATGTCGCACATGGCTGAGATGATGTACACTTAAGGCAAATAATTACATTAAACAGTACATTGAAGGAACATTTAAAAAATCTGCATATTGATGAGTTTGTATAGTGGAGGATTATAAAAGATGGGTATTGAGGGAAACATATGATTAAAAGATGGGGTCATTTATGGAAAACAGCGAGGCATGAAAATGTTATTTAAGTTTTTCTGTTGATGTCCTCTTTTGCTCCCCGTTCTTTGGTGTCCCTGTGGTTAAATCTGGCTAAGAAACACTTGGAGTTGACTCAATTGTCAGTTGTCTTTTCTGTTTTGTTTTTTTTTTTCCTGTTATGGATATTTTTTTGCCTGGTTTCCATACAAAATTGCCAAAGCTCTGTTGCAGAGATTTCAGGTTTGAGTTTATTGGTATATGCAAAGTTGGAATGCCAAGTAATAACTACAGTCACGTTGTGTTGTCTTTTGCGTTTCCATTGATTCATAATAAAACACTTTCTGTTGTTGAAGGATTTGCTGGCATAGAGGTCTGTTTCTTTTCCTTCCTTGTTTGTAGGTGACTCAGATCTCTTTTGAGCTCCAGGACAGATTTTATCACAAGCTCTCACTCATATGGAAACTTCACATCAGAGGATGATGTACAGTGCGGGAATTCTCAGTAAGCTGGACACCTTTGGCCCGCAGCGAGGACTGTCCGTCATGCAGGGTTGACTCAGGCAGCTAGCTGAGAAATATGTAAACGATTTCTGTCACAATAGCCCTTCCCTTATTTGAATTAATACCTTGTGGCACATTCATCAGCGTACAAACAAAGTTTATACTATGAGTCAGTGGTGAGACTATTGTCCCATGATGTGAAAACAAAAACAACAGGATTATGTAACTGTACTTTGGTTCCTCGGATGGCCACTAGGGGGCAGCACTCGTTCATTATTTTGCTTCGTTCACATCCCAACATGAATACATTGCCGATGAGTCTGAGGTTCTGCAGGGTAAACGGGATGGATAAGGTGCCATGAGCACATTTCACTCATTTGTGTAAATGATTTGGACTCGTCTTCCACACATTAGGCTGAGTTATTCATCGTCTACTGCCTGAGCACAATGGACTGATTCTGGGTGATGAATGCAGCTATTCACAGCTTTGATGAAGTCCTGATAAATTTAGCTGCTTAAAGAGCTCATTTAAATCAGCCTCTATCAAAACAGTTTCAAGATCTTCTATAATCTCCTGAATGGGGTTATATGTAAAAAAAAATAATAATACTAATGGTCAAAAAATGTGATCATAACACTGAGCAGGACCCTTCAACCCAAAATATGAAAATTTGAAGGGACTGTTTAAATTTACCCAGACATGTTTGGTGTCTGAAATTTGCTTGTTTAGTTTTAGCACTGGAGCTATGAGGCTAATGTAGCTAACAAAGAATGGGGGTCTATAGCCCACAAAATAGCATGTCACTAACTACATGCCTAAATTGTCATGCACTTGCCTCAGTCTGTTAAATAAAGGTTAAATAATTTCTAATAAATGTGGTTTCTGACACTGTTACCTATAAAAATGAACAAACCTACAGTGAAAATTTAAACACCCTAAATTTTGAGTGTTCAACATAATAGGCCTCCTTATTTCCTACTTATCTCACAATCTGAGAAATGCAATTTTTGTTTTTTTGCTAATGGCTGGGAAATTACAATTTGTTTTAAATGTCTACATAATTGAGTGTGTGAGATGTAAACAGAGTGATTCTGAGTGGTTTGGTGTGAAGTGGTTCAGATTTTTTAGAGTGATAGGAACCAGGGGTTGCCATGACTACAACACAAATCTAGACATTTTATTTACTATCCAAAACCACCAGTGAACCTACACGAGTCTTCTGAGTTTATATGGAACGTTGATGATGGAAAATAGCAGAAAGTACGCTTTTTGTGACTATTTTGCTTCACAAGGTAAACCTCCACCATGAATGAATTTTAAAAAACTATTGTAAAACAGTGTCTCAGACATCAGGCAGTAAATTCATAACTATTTCATGTAGTAACTTTCTGTGAGGGAGCTTTTAGAGGTGGACGTCTGGTTCCTGTCACCACCACTGTGAACAACACTTCATATCTAATCACTCTGAACAACTTCGTTTACATCTTAACCTTTTAATTATGAAGACATTTTCAAAGAAGCAGTGGAATTCCTCTTTAAACCAGATCAAGGGGTCAAGTAAAGTTGGATCTTCAACATTAAACACCCAAAATATGGTGCACCAAGGATCATAATCTCACTGAAAATTACTCAGTTTACCCTAATAGTCTATAACAATAGCAATAATAGTATTCATTTATATGCGGAGTGGAAAATCTGAAATGATAAGTTTTCTTTGGGGCCTATTTTGCCTCACAACACCCTGCATGTATGCCTCCACCATGAGTGGATTGTAAAAAATACATATAAGGCCAAAACCTTCTCAAAAACATCTAAATTTAATTTAGTAACTTTGTGAGGGAGCTTTTAGAGGCAGACGTCTGGTTCCTATCAACACCACTGTGAACAATTCTCTACACTGTATCACTTCATATCAAATCACTCTGAGCAACTTTGTTTGTAATTATGAAGACATTTTTAAATATTCCCCTTTAAGCTGGATCCTCAACATTAAAACAGCTAAAAACCAAAAATATGGTGCACCAAGATTAATAATCTTAATGAAAATGGCACAGTTTACCCCAGTAGAGCCCCCAGGGGGCTTTTAGAGGTGGATGTCTGGTTCCTATCACTACCACTATGAGGAGTTCTGACCTTAGAATGAAGCATTTCACATCATGCTACTGACTTTATATCGTAATTATTTACTTGTGCAGAAATTTTGAAATATTGTTGGAATTCCCCTTTAAGTTTAAGTCCATTAAAGCATATCTGCAGTGTCTGTAATAGCAAAGAAACAATAAGGATGATGTGACAGACAGCCTTGACCGTCGCTCTGTGCTGTTTGGCCTTGCTGACAGTGAAGAGCAGATATGGGACCAACAGTCACGAGCAGAGCTATTCATTCAATCATAATGTCCCAACATAGAGTGGCTAGAACATCCCTGTAACCCAAAAGCTCCACTAAACCTCATTAGACCAGACCTGAAATTCCTCCTCCCTCCTTTCTTTCTATAAATATCAACCTCTGATTACTGTATCCTGTGACGTGTGTGAGTTTCGCACCCCACTTCTCCGCCTCTTCACCATATCTCAGTCCTCTCTCTTAGTCCTGTCTTCAAAGGTGGGTTTGACCTTCTAGCATTAACCCAAATTCTCAAATAGAAACTCGCATATAAATGAATACTATTATTGCTATTGTTATGGACTATTAGGGTGAACTGAGTCATTTTCAGTGAGATTATGAACCTTGGTGCACCATATTTTGGGTGTTTAATGTTAAAGATCCAGCCTTACTTGCTCCCTTGTTCTGGCTTAAAGGGGAATTCCACTGCTTTTTAAAACTGTCTTCATAATTAAATGTTTACGATGTAAACAAAGTTGCTCTTTAAATGCGGTCGCCTGTGTTTCGACATCACTTGGACTTTCGTAATCTGTACTTTATTAAAGCGTTTCCAGTGTTTGAGACTTTGTTCACTTCAGAACATACATACATCATCTAAACCGCTCATCCTTCTGGGTTGCGGTGGGGTGCTGGAGCCTATCCCAGCTGTCATTGGACAGAAGGCAGGATACACCCTGGACAGGTCGCCAGTCCATCGCAGGGCAGACATACACAGTCACTCACACCTAGGGGCAATTTAGCGAGTCCAATTAGCTTAACTGCATGTTTTTGGACTGTGGGAGGAAACCGGAGTACCCGGAGGAAACCCACGCAGACACGGGGAGAACAGGAAAACTCCACACAGAAATGACCCTGGTCGCCCGGCCGGGAATCGAACCCAGGCCATTTTTGCTGTGAGGCGACAGCGCTACCCACAGCACCACTTCAGAACATTTAAAAGTAAAATACTGTACTTTTAAGTCATAATGCACATTTAAACTGAATAAACCAATCACAGCTCACCATTCACAACACCCTTCTCCTAACCCAGGCGTGTCAAGCTGGGGACCTTCCAGGCTGCAGAGATCAGCATTTACCATCATCTAACGCTCTGAATTCAGTTAATGAAGGTCTTGCTAATTAGCTGATGAGCTGAATCAGGTGTGTTCAATGAGGCAGTGCGCTGAAGTCTGTGGTGTTGTGGCCTGCAAGGACTGGAGCCTGACACATGTGCCCTAACCTCCTTTCACAGTAGCCATAAAATGCAATTTCGGTAACACTTTATTTGGATGGTCCACTGTAGATGCTTTGTAAATGCTCAGTCTGTTTATAAGTAACATTCAACTAAATATCTATTAAATGCAACTGAACTACAAGTTCAGTGTGAAAGAGTTAAGTCTATTCCTACTCCTAACCCTAACCTCAAGGCTAAATTTACATCTACTCCTAACCTTAATCCTAACCACAATGTTGTTGATAATCAACTGAACATTACCGGAAAGCTTGTTAATGATTTAAGTATCTGTAGAGGACCATCCGAATAAAGTGTGACCGCAATTTCTGCCATTTTTGTAGTTTTCACTGTTGAACTACGAATTTTTGAATATATTTGGGTAGAAATGTGTATGATCTACAAAACTGGATTTGCATCTTCATGGGTGAGCGAGCAAGTCGATTGTTTTTGACAGACTTTTGCAACCGTACTTTCTGAACCATAACATTTTGTCGGGGATTTTTACACCACAAACAAACACAAAAAGTTTTCTACGTGTTTGGAAAAGGGGGAGTGAAACTTGTGAAATATTGAAAATGAAACTTTTCTGATTAAAGAATCCAAAATGTTTGGTAACAAAAAGCAGTTTAGCTATTTTTAAACTGTTCTTCTTGTCTACAATATCTAGAATAACTAGTTAGTTTACTTCTGATATTCAAGTACATTTAAAAGTGAGTACTTCAGCACTTTATCTATAAACAGAGAACTTCTACTGGGTAATATTTTAGTGAGGGCATTTATATTTTCACTCAAGTACAGGATTTGTGTGATGCTAACAGCACATATTCACTAAGCTCGTGCTCAGGCCCGTTCAGGAAGAAGCAGCGTCATTAAACAGCCGTTCTCAGTTTTTTTCTCACTTCAGTGGGCTTCGCTCAGCCCCTCTGCCGCTGTGGGAGTTCCTTGTAAGGTTGTGTGGCCCCTTGAAAAAAAGGATCAAGCATCAAAGCATACCGGGCAAATCTATGGAGACGGACAAAAGAATCGGTTAGATGTTGCCGGTCAACAAGAGCTGCTCGACTGAACAATTTGCCTAAAAATCTAACCTTTTGTTGTTAAGAGCTCTTAGCGGGAGCGTTTATATGTGTGTTAAAGCAAAATAGTTTTAACCTTCCATTTGGCCTTTTGTGTAAAAGTGAGAGGAACATGTTCTGTAATGTGTACGATCCACTTGTATAAGGAAGAAAAAGGTCAAAAGAAAATAAGTGAACAAAACAATT